TCATCTATCTATTTATCTATCATCTATCTATCTATCTATCTATCTATCTATCTATCTATCTATCATCTATCTATCTATCTATCTATCTATCTATCATCTATCTATCTATCATCTATCTATCTATCTACCTATCTACCCAACCACTCATCCATCTAACTAATCAGTAAGTCCTTAAGCCGTGCCTGCCAAGCACAGGCATTGTGTGGGCACGTGCAGGCAACAGCTGCTCAAACACCTTAGACTCTAGTCGGGTGAAAACTGAAACTAGCTATAAAATATTTAAATTACAGCTTAACCCTGAAGCCACAAAGGAAAAGACTGATAGATTTGACTACACAAAAAAATTAAAAGCTTTAGTACAGAGAAAAAAATGTCTTCAGGACAAACTCTAAAGGTATTTGTAACATATATGACAGACAAAAGACTAATTTCCTTAATTTACATTGAAAGAATCATTGAGAGAAAGACCCGAAATGAGCAGATGTGAACAGGAAGTTCTTAAAAATGAAAACCAATATGAAAGTATTCTCAACTTCACTCATAATTAAAGAAATGAAATTCAAAACAGCAATGAGGCTTCATTAATCACATCTCAGGTTGGCAAATATTGAAATGCTCGTTACTATCCAGCACCATCCGGGGTGCAGGGAAATAGCACCCCTTACTACCCCTCTTACTTCTGGTGGCAGTCAGCCTGTACAACCTTTGGGAGAGCTAATTTAGGACTACATCAGCATTTAAAATACATATCCCATTTGACCCAGCAATTCCACCACCAAGAATGAGCCGCACAGGAGCCCTTGCAGACGTATTCCAAGGTGTTCCAGGAAGGATGCTCATGGCAGCACTGTTTGGAAGAGCAAAGATTGCAAACAACCTAATGCCCATTGATTGGAGGCTGGAGAGATGCAGTCTGCTGTGTCTGTGCTGTGGAATATCATGTAGCCATTAGGAAGGATGGGCTCTAAGAGAAACCAGCTCAGTAGAGAACAGTCTGTCTAGCATTATGCCCTTTAGGTTGGTAAAAAGCATATATAGTGGCGGCTGGCCCGGTGGTGCAGCCGTTAAGTGTGTGCGCTCTGCTTTGGCGGCCTGGGGTTCAGATCCCGGGTGCACACTGAGGCACCGCTTGTCAAGCCATGCTGTGGTGGCGTCTCATATAAAGTAGAGGAAGATGGGCACGGATGTTAGCCCAGGGCCAATCTTCCTCAGCAAAAAAAAGAGGAAGATTGGCATTGAATGTTGGCTCAGGGCTGATCTTCCTCACTAAAAACAAAAACAAAAAAAAACAGATGCAGGAGCTGGTCTTTGGGTAGAAATCATGAGGCTGGCTTTCGACTACTGAGTTTAAAGTACATTTGGGAGGAAGATTGAGTGGGGTTCAGTGTCAAAAGGAAGGCTGCTATTATCTGTTTAATGTTTTCAAGTACTATTTGGACTTTTATGTGCATGCGTTACTTTTATTTTATAATAAGTTTTATTTAAATTTCATATTAAGAGGGTAATTGAGTAGCTGGCCCAAGGCCACACGTGAGAAACATCATTGACTTGTTCAGCCAACAAGGCGCAGGACAGGAAGTCTCTCTGATCACCCCTCTGCACCATGTTGTTGCTCTATTTTGTTGAGTCCCTTTATCACTGCGTATGGTTCATGGAGACCCTTAGGAAAATCCCCTGCAGGGTGCCTGAGATGTTCCCCCCTACTGCCAGCCCCCATCATCTTGCCCCAAGATACAGCCATGACAGGAGTTTGTTCTGAGCAATTTCCATTTCATTGTAATCCCAAAACATTCAAGTGTTGTCTCGGCCAAAGAAAGAATGAATCACTAATTTGGGCATCTGTGTGTATGTCCCAAGGTGAGCGGCACAGCTTGTGAGTGGCAGAAGCCCCGAATTAGGGACCAGGCTTGGGTTCTAATCTAGCTCAGCAGTCAACCAGCTGTGTCCTGGGACCAATCACATTTTCTCTCTGGATCTCCATCACTTGTCTCTAAAATGGGGCAGTCCAACCCAAGTCATGACCTCTAATGATCCTCACAGGCCAGACATTTTGGTTTTTCTACATTTCTTTCTAGACCCCAACTCAAGCCTTGGTTATATATTCTTCCATCTCTCTGCTTTACCCATAAAGCCTCCTGTAGGGCTGGGCCTACAGATGGCTGGAGTAGGTGGAGAGTTAGGGCCTTGGAGTCAGATATCTGTGGGTTTGAATCCATTTCTGCTCCTCACCAGCTGTGTGGCCTGGAATAAGCCAATTAATCTCTGAACCTCGGTTTCTCCCGGAATAAAGTACCTTCAAGGTGATGGTACAGATTAGAGAGGCTTCATCTCAGGGGCCTGGCACATAGTTGGTGCTCAATAAAAAGGGAAATTCTTACAACTGCACCAGAAAGTAAAGATAGGGGAGCATAGGATGCCTCCTCCCTTGCCTCCTGCATGTCTTCTCCAATGCTCTTCCTCGGGCGTTTATACAGCCCCCCTTGACTGTATATGTCACGCTCTATTGAAATTGTTGATGTCTCTGTCTCCCCACTAGACTATGAAATCTCTGGGGTCCTGGATCATGACTTGAATCCCTTGATCCCCAGTACCCGGCACGGTGCCTGGCACGGAGAAGCTGCTCCGTATACCTTTGTCAAGTGAGGGTACCATGTGGTTTCCTGCCACAGGTAGGCCTGCGAGGCCTGCAGGCTTTGGAGCATCATTTTTCCTCCGGCCCAAGCTGTCATGGGCCCACATGCATCAGCTCAGATTGAGCCAAACTAGGAGAGTTCCTGTATGGATGGGGATGGGGAAGGCTCTCTGGAGCAAACTGATGTAAGCAGTGACTCCTCGGCCCCTTGCCTGGTGTGGATTCAGCGGTCAGCCAGGAGACTCTGGGAGAGGCAAGTCCATTCATCCAGGAGATAAAGAGCCGTCAGGTGCTGAGCTGGAAGCCTCTGTAAACACGCTCACCAGGGGAGGAGGCTCATGTTTAATTAACTGCAGCCTCTTTCATCAATGACAGCAGGGGCCACAATCAGCACCGCAGAACCACTTTAACTGCCTCTGAGAACTCTCCACACTTCAGGTGCCTTGGGAGGGCCTCTTCAGCAGGCCCAGGCAGCCCTGATGGGTCCCTCCTGTTCATGCCAATTGGACAGCTCCTCTGGGGCTCCCACGGGTCAAACCCAAGCTTCTCTCTCCCTCAACCTGTCCTCCTCCCAAATTCTCTGTTTTGGTGACTAGCACAACTGCACTCCTGGGTACCCCAGCCAGGAACCCAGGAATCGGCTTGGAGTCCACCCTCCACTCCAGGCATCGAGGGCCCCTGACCTTTGCCCCTGTTCCGGCCTTCACCCTCTCTTAGCTGGGCTGCTATACCCGTCTTCTCACTGGTCTTGTCCCCTAAATGTCCAGCCCCCACATCCCCCTCATCCAGCCCCCTTTCCCTGGAGTGTCTTCTCTCTGCCCTCACTCTCCTTGCTGACTTTGCTTAACCTCCCAGCTCAGGTGGGACTCCCGCAAGAAGCCACCAATGACCTCCAACACCCCCAGTCCTCCTCCACCACACTGTCTTCCTCTGTGCCCCTGAACCATGTATTGGATCTTCTAGTGGTCTGCTGATGGTTCTGTCTCCCCGGCTGGACCGAAAGATCCTTGAGGGTCTGGCTGGCACAGGTCGTCTCCATCTCCATGCCCAGCATCTGCTGCAGGGCCCAACACTTAGAATGTGCCTGAGCAGGGTTTGTGGGAATGGAATTAAACCCAACATGCTCATAGGGGAAAGAGCCCAAGGAGAGAAACAGCTTCCATCAAGGGAAGGGTGGGCTGTCAAATGCTGGGGGCACTGCCCAATGCTAGAGGGCATGAGACAAAACCAGTGGCTGTGGGCCCACTGAGACCATGGGTGACTACCTGCTGGCGTGGGCATTTACTGCCCTGCTCCCCTGCCTTCTCAGACCAACTCGCCACCCTCAGGCAGGCCTGGGGCAGGAGCATCTTTCAGGGCCTCTGGTCCTCTGGTGCCCAGACCCCACTTCACAGATGGCACAGCCCTGAGACAGTTTGCATGAAGGCCGCTCTTGGCTCTTTTCTGTCCTCACTGGCCAGCCCTTGGAGGAAGTCCCTAGTTGGAGAGTCCTCCGTGTGCAAACTGTTGGAGATATTAGGGGTCTTTGGAATGACCTAGTCCCACCCCTCCATGTGTCCCTTCTGGGCCCTGGAGGAGAAAGACTTGGCCTGAGGTCACAAACCAATATTTGACTGAGTAGGGACTAGAACTCAGTTCCCCTGACTACTTTGGTGCTTTTTCCACTATAGAACCCTCAGTTTCCCCCAAGCTCTTCAGGAGTCCCTCCAACAAACCTCCTGGAGTAGCTACCCCCTCCTGCCCAAATTCTTTACCAGGGGTGTGGGCACAGGAAGGGGATGGCAGGTATAGGGGAAGGACATGGGTTTCTGGGTCAGCTTTGGGTTTGGACTGTTGGCTTTGCTGCATACCAGCTCGCTGTGTGGCCCTGGGCAAATAACTTAACCTCTCTGTGCTTCAGTTGTCTTCTCAGTTATATGGGAGCTATAGAATCTCATGGGATTGTTCTTAGGTGTTAATATATATAAAGAACTTTATGCAGTACCAGTTCACTGTCAGTTCTTAATAAATGGGAGCTTTCCCTAAGGGTGCTGACCCTCTGAACGTGCCCTTTTGAATGCGTTCTGTCGAGGGCCAGCGGTAAACTGGTTATTACTGAGGATCAGAAGGAGAGAATGAGGAGGGAGTTTAGTGGAGGCCCGGACTGGGCACAGATGAAAGGGGTGTACTTCTTCCGAGGCAGGTGGGCAGGTCCAGACGGCGCCGGCCCTGGAGCCTTCGCGGCAACCGCAGCCTCCCTAGGTCTCGGCCCTGGCAGAGCCTAACGGAGCCCGAGGCCGGCGCCTGGCGGGCTGAGCACGGCCTGCAGCGCCCCCGCGTGCCCGCAGCGAGAAAGCGACCTCCCAAACCGCCCCCGCCTCTGCAGGTACATGTCCCCAGGCCTTGCCCTCTGAGGGGAGAGCGGAGTCCGGCCAGCAGGCGTGGAGGGAGAGGCAGTCAGGTTACATTTGTGGGGGCGGGAGGCCTGAAACCCACCCTTCCCCACACCGTTCCTCAGTCGCAGCCCCGCCACCCCCTGCAATGGTCAGTCATCGCCCAGTGTTGACCACGTTCTCACGGGGGCGCCGGGAGCCTGTGTACCAGGCACCTGCTGTGGTCCATGGTGCGCTTGCTGTGTTCTTTCCAGCCCCCACCAAAAGGAGAAGGGGGCCAGAGAAGAGCTCCCATCAGCTTATCAGAGGACTGCAGTCAGAAAGTCTAGGAAAATGCCGTTTTAACAAACAGGCAAATTTCGTCTTATCTTTTGATGATTTTGAGTGCAGTTAGTGGGGAGACACCATAAAGCTGTTTTGTGTGAGTTCATTACAGATTTGGGAAGAGGAGTGAGGGAAGGAATCCCAGCCCTGCCCTGAGCCTGGTGGGGCTGAGCAGAGACCCTGCAAGCCCCCACATTTCTGGGCCAGCCCAGCCCATCACTCTGTGCTGAGACTGTGTTCATGGTGGTTTCCCCCGTGGACCCCGACATCAGGGGACAGGAACCGGGTCTTTAATCTTTGTGTCAATGGCTCCCAGCACAGCGCCTCACACGCAGAAGGCACAGGTAAATATCTGCCAAGTTGCAGAGGAAAATGAAAGTGTGAGATGGTGAGGCTGGGAACAGGGTTGTGACAGGTGGAAAGGAAAGCAGTGGAGAGGCACAGGATTAAGCACAGAGAGTGGCCCTCATTAAAAACACCCCTGACCTCTCTGTTAGGACATTAATGTGTTAGAGCCCCCAAATTTGCTGGACCCTCGGGAAATGGGTCCTGACCGGGAGGTGAGCAGTGGCGCGTGGTGGTGGCCAGCCGGGCAGAAGCAGCATAGGCATCTTCAGCAGGGTGTGTGGAGGACCCTTGTCTCTGTGATCAGATGTACCTGGGTTCAGATCCAGCCTCTGCCTCTTGCTAGCTGTGTGACCTTGAACACACAGCTCCTCGTCTGCACAGTGGTCCCAGGAATCCCCACCTTGCAGGTTGTTCTGAAAATTAAATGAGAGAATGTGTGCCTGGCCCAGAGTAAGCCCTCAATGGATGGTTGCCTGGTGACTCCTAACGTTTCCGATAAAGGCAGCAGGGCAGCCCTCCTCCCCGCTCCAGAATCAGATCCTCCTCCTGTGACACCCCCAGTACACGTTCCTGCCCCCCACCCCAACCCCTGCTCAGCTGCTGACCTTGGCTTGAGCCCTCTGAGAAAATAGAAGCAATCGGTCGAGAACTTGCCCTATCCCTCATGTTCCCACCACCACATCCACTGACTTCTGCATCTTTATTCGTGTTTTCCCCTGCCTGCCTCCCTGCTATCATGGAAGAACTTGCTCCCACCAACTGCTCAGAACCCCTTGCTCTCTAGTCCTTGTAAGGACTTGACTCCTGAAATCCTGCCCTCTCCTGAATTATTAATTTCTCCCTCTCTCTGGGGTCATTCCCTGCAGCATGCAAACAGGACTTATTATATCTTGTTATAAAACATAAAGTCCTCCCCTGCACTCCACCTGTCTCCCTCCAGCTGCAGCCCCCTTTCTCTTCACAGCCCACACAGCATAGGCATTCTCTGGACCCTGTACCTCCCATCCTCTGAGGGGCATGTGCACCAGGGACACACAGGGGGACCAGGACTGAAAGTCTGAACTCAGGAGGGGCTCTTTGATGATAAATATTGTACTTTTATTATTTACTTTAAATAACAATTTCTTTTTTGCTTATAAATATATACTCATAGTAGACAACTCCCCAAACATGGAAAAATACAAAAAATAAAATAAAAATCAATCATAATCCTCCTGCCAAAGAGAAATATTTTTGTGTTTCCTTCCAAATTTTTCCCTAAGCATATTACATTTTTAAAAAATTATTCATTTATTAAATATATATATATATGCTGCATGTCATGCGCTGTGCTCAGCAATGGGAGTACAGCAAGGCAGACACAGTTCCTGCCGTCAGAGCAGGGAGAGGCAATGAGCTCCTTAACTATGCTGAGTGCCAGCAGGCTGGCTGATTCCAGGTGTGTGGGGCTCAGAGGAAATGAGGATGAATGGCCACAGCTCTTCTCAGGGATGAATGAGATTCTTCAGGCTGGAGAGTAAATTTAGGCTAGGTGGCAAGTGGCAAGTGACAATTCAAAGACTGAGCAGTCAGCTGGGACCGGATGACCTGGGGTCCCTTATACCACGGCTGGGAGTGGGGACTTCCTTGTGATGGCAGTGGGTGATCTTTGAAGGGTTTGAAACAAGGAAAGGGACCAGACCTATGGCCACTTGGGCTGTTTTGGGTGAATGGCTAGAAGGCGGCAAGACTGAAGGGAGAGAGACAAGGTCGGAAGCGATTGCAGTCATGCAAGCCCCTGTCGGTATGGCTCAGGCCTCGGTGGGGGTGGGGATGGGCGGTGGAGGGACGAGTGGACACACCAGCAGGCATCTGAGGGAGAACACACCCGTCTGTGTTGCTTGATTGAATCTGGGGTAGGGATGGTGAGGAGATTGGGGAAACTGTTTTTATAAAATGGTGGTCCTTCTCTACAGACTGTTTTATAACGTTTTTATCTTAAAATAAATATATCATGAATACTTCTCCATATTCCTAAATATCGTCTGTAATATGGTTTATAATGGCTGAATGGTCTGTAATTGCATTTTATGTACTGTCATTAATTAACCAAACGCTGCTGTAGGCCATTGGCTATTTCCAGTTTTTCTTGACAAGAGAAGCAAATCTCAGCTCATAAGGGGGAAATCACATACAGTCAAAATACCTTTGAAAACCCCTTAAACTGCCGGTGATGTACTGTCTTCGTTGTTTTGCGTACACAGTTGTGTATAGTAATGTGTGTGTGTAAAAATATAATGTACAACATCTAATAAAGAAGATACATGCAAAATATAACTTTAGACCACGATTTAAATTGCCATTTTTCTGTTAGTTTTTCTGAACTCAGGTAGTTGGATTTACATAAGTGAAAGGCGGGTCTTTCGCACTGTGCGACTCCACAGGGTTGTACACAGTGCTCCGAAGAACTTGGACGCACTTCTGTGGGTTGGTAGATGCCTCATTGGCCCCAGTCCTGCACCTCCCACACATGCCCTTTGCCCCTCTGCTCCCACCAGAGGTGGAGGGAACTCCCTGCCCTATGACTGCGGGCTTGGCCGTGTACTTGCTTTGGCCAATGAAACGTGGGCAGAGGTGACAGTGTACCACCTCTGAGCTAGACCCTAAGTGGTCTGACGAGTTCCTGCTTACCCTATTATGCTGCTGCCTTCATCAGAAGGCAGGTTCTAGAGGGAATACAGGTGGAACAGCCAAAGCCTGAAGCACAGCAAGGAGCCAAACCCAGCTGGACCTGCCGCTGGAAGCAGCGCCGCCTAGTTGAGCCCAGCCTAGGTCAGCCGCTCTCAGGCCCACCTGCAGATACGCAGAGGAGCATAAATGATGGTAACCTACCAAATCCTGGTGTGATTTTTGATGCAGCAATAACTAACCAATCCAGTGGGCATTTCTCATCAGTTCTTTTTCCTGTTTGAAAAAGCTCACATCACATCTTGCCAAATCCCCACTACCCCCGGGAAATCCGTCTACATTTCTGTTCACAGTGGGCAACAGTGCCTGTTTCTCTCCCCTCTGACCAGCACCAAGGATTTTTTTTTAATCACCAATTTAACATGCAAATAAATGATCTTGCTTTTTTTGCATTTCTTTTATTATAAGTGAGGATGAATTTTTTTTTTTAGGATGAACTTTTTTTAATATGTTTACTGGCCTATGGTCTCTCTTTTGTGAACTGATGTTTTATATTCCTGGGTCTTGATCTTATTCACCCCGATCACCCTGCCATAAAGGGGAACTGAAGAGGGTTTGAATGAACGAATTCCTTGAGTTCTGATCCACTCCTCGGCCCCATAGACTCAGAACAGCCCTATCAGGTGAGTGCTGTTCGTGTAATACTTTAATAATGAAGATTCCTACATTGCAACAAGACTCATTTTCTGAATGCTTCCTGAGTCCAGTGTGGTCCAGCACATGAAAAAGGATTCAGAACTAGAAGACCTAGAGATGAGTTCTAATGACCAAAGGAAAATCGTTTTATTTCTCCCAGGCTTAGTTTTTCCATCTGTAAAATGGAGATAATAATGGAACTTTCCACTCAATGTTGCAGTGAGGAATAAATAAGACCATGGGTAACCAGCACAAAAATATAATGCATCTAGCATGGTGCATACCACACAGTAGGCCCTCAGAAATTCTTATATTTTGCTCTGGTTTTTCCTTCCTTACATGAATGGGCTATAGGGATTGAGAGAAAGGAAAAATTTCTCTGGAGTGACAGCAATCAGGAAAAGTTTCCTAAAGGAAATACAATTTGAATTGGGCCTTAAAGTGTAGAAAGGATTCTGGAGTGGTAGATAGAAGGGAAGATATTCTGGGTGTGGAGACATGGTTAGAACGAGGCTTCGAGTCAGAAGCTGTTCTAATAAATACTGCTGTTATTCAGTCCCCAGTATGTGTCAAGAGTCCACCAGTAAATACACATAAGCGAGTTTTTTATTTTCTTTTCATCATCATCATCATCATCATTCCCACTTTACAGATGAGGAAGCAGAAACTCAGAGAAGTCACACGATTTCCCCAAATCCGCACAATTGGTCATTGGTGCTGGGATTTGAATCTGGTCCCAAATCCCAGCTTCTTTTCAGCAAATCATCTTAGCAGCCGTGGAGGTGCTTCTGGGTCTCTGGCTTCAAGAGAGAACCTGCTGTTCAGCTGTGGGAGCGCAGGAGCCCCCGGCCTCAGCACAGCACCTTCAGGATCCACCTCCACTTCTGGGGCAGGCCCCTGCCAGGCACTGAGTGGTGTTGTGGGGGCAGGGACTAGGGCCTGGCTACTCCTGCCCAACATGGGACTCCTCTGAGGGGCAGCCTTTGCTCCGGATCTCCCGCAGAGTTGGCTGCGACTTCGTCATGTCTGTGTGTGGGTCTGAGGCTCTCCTGCACAATCCTGCTCCCTCCACCTTGTATTTGTCATAGGCTTACCTCCAATAAGCTGCTCCCACTCCTAACTCCACCTCTCTTGGCTTCCAGAAGACCCACAGACACACCACCCTAGTCCATCCTACCTCCCGGGCCTGGCGTGGATGGGAGGGCCCCAAGAAGACCCGTCCACCTTGTGCAGAGGGCTCAGTGGGGCAGTGCTGGGGGTAAGCGGTGGATGTGAAGGGTCTTGAAGGATCATAATAACTAACACTGAGCATTTACCATGTGGCAGACACCATTTTAAATGCTTGTTTTAACTTATTTCAATTAATCCTCACAAGAACTCTGAGAGGAAGGAATTATTACTATCTTTACTTTACAGACGAGGAAAGCGAGGCCCAGAGAGTTTCAATAACTTGACTATCCAGGTAAAGGTCTGTTACATGGCAGCATCAGTATCCTAACCCAGGCAGTCTGGCTCCAGAACCTTCTTTCTTAGCTGCATCTCTACAGCTGGATACTGGGAAGCTCTCTGGGCCTGCCCTGCTGGGCAGGAGAGTAATGGGGGGACTTTTGCACAGAGGGTCCTTTGTGGGCACTGCCATCTCTGTCCTGCACAGCCAGTCTGCTTGGTGCTGGGGTCTGTCCCATGGGCCATAGCCAGGGCACAGTGTTTCCAAGAAGGGGAAGCAGGAGGGGGGAGAATTATTTCAAATGGACAGCAGGGTCACACAAGCAGGAGGTCATGGCCGACATTCAGAGACCCCAGCCCCACCCCAGCCTGCTTTCTGGCAGTTGAGGATGCTGTCGTGGTAATTTTACCCAGTTCCCCTTCAGCCCCACCATCAGCCCCTGATCAACCACAGAACCAGCGTTCCCACACTCTGCCGGTGTGGGATGTGGCCCCTGTGGTTCTGAAAGGGGAGTGTTCTCATCCTAGCTCGGCCTGAGAGCTTATCAGAGGACCTGCCTGGCAGAGGTGGCAGCTACTGTCCTTTCTCTCTTAATCTCGCTGGTGTCAGACAGACCTGGGTTCAAATCCCCCTCTGCCTCTTACTAGCTGTCAAGCTAATTTTATCAGGTGGTTATTGCTGTACCACAAACCACCCCCAAACCCAGTGGCTTTAACCACAACCATCTGCCATTGGTCATGAATTTTTGGGTTGGTTGGAGGTTAGTTCTTCTGGTGTGGGCCAGGCTTGACCAGTCTCGGCTGGGCTCACTAACGTGACTGTGGCCAGCTGTGGGTGGCTGAAGGACAAGGGCCTCAGCTGGGGCAACTGGGCCCTGCGCCACGTGCTCACTCAGCCTCCAGCAGGCTAGCCTCAGCTTGTTTGCATAACATGGCGGGAATCTGAGAGAGACAGAGAGAAGGAGCACCAGACCTTCTTCTGATGAGAAGAGCTGCAAAGTCTCATTGCACAGGCCCTGAATGTGAGGGTGGTGAATTGGAGCCAACATTCCACATCACGTCACCTCTGTGACTCAATGTGCTCGTTATAAGATGGGAGTGCTCTCCCTTGTGTCGTGTGATGCTCCAGTGTTCTGTGTCCTTTTAGGGGACAGTGAGGTGCAGCCACAAGAAAGGACACAGGAGAGGCGCAGGAGAACAAAGTTTACTATATCACAAGTCCTAGAGCCACAGAGTCACTGTAGGCCAAGAGGGGGCCCCACAGGGAGAGCGCCAGGGGAGGGGCTCAGCCAGGCAGGCAGGGAGCTGAGAGAGGGCGAGGACCCATGGGCAAAGGCAGGGTGGGGATGGGACCAAAGGATGAGAGGGGGTTTCACTGGTGCATTTGAATGTCACTAAGTCACAGGAGGGGGAACTTGTGGCAGGGGCCCACCTTATCACACTGGGGCACGTGGTCACCGGGGCTGGTGCTCATAGCCTGTTTGTGGGGATACGTAGGCAGCAGGAAAATATGGACTTTAAAAAGATGTTTAAAACTACACCCAGTAAAACTTGGGCCCCATGATTCCATTTTGAAAGCTAACCTTATAAAATGTAAAAGGCCAAGGATTAGATTTGCCTTTGGAGGAAACCATTCCGTGGTATTTGGGAAACTGAGTGGGGGCCTCTAGTCACAATAACGAGAGTATGATGTACCACAAGCACGCATCTCCTGAGGAAAGACTAGGAAGCAATCCCAGGACAGAGAAGCTAAGTGCTCTGCTTAGCATTCCTCAGTTTCTTCATTTGTTCATGTAGCCATTCATTTATTCAGGAAGTGAATCAGAAGATATTTATCACGAGCCTATTGTGTAAGAGACATTGTATAAGAGAAACTGCATGAACGAGGGACTGGATGTAATAGAGATTAAAGGAGACATGAAGGTTGCTGGATGACTGTGTGAGATGGATTGTCGGGGGCACTTCTTTGTAAGACACCATGATGAGTTTGGCCCGCTGCCTGAGGGAATGGGGAGCCATTGAAGGTTTTAGTCCTGGAGTGACATGGTTAGCTTTGTCATTTCTAAAGGTCTCTCAGGCTGCTGTGTGGTGAATGAACAGGTGGTTGGTTCGTGGAGCGTGGTAGAGGGAAGAGACTAATTAGGAGATGTTCCAAGCATCCAGGCCATTGATGCTGTGGCCTGGACCATTGTGGTGGCAGAGATGGAGAGAATTGGATGGACTGGAGAGATATTTGGGAGGTAGAATGTGGGTGAGGGGTAAGTGACATGGAGGCATGGCATCTGACACTCAGTTTCTGTCTTGGGCACTGGATGGAGGGAGCCATTGGCTGAGATGAGGAACAGGAGGGGCAGATGATGAGTCAGGCTTTAGCTGCCTGGCCTTGGAGGTACCCGGGCAGAGGCAATTGATAGACAGATACCTATGACTAGAGCTCGGGAGAGAGGTCTGCACTCGAAGTGTAGGTTGGGGAGTCAACAGCTGAGAGATGAAAACCAAAGCCATAGAAGGGAAGTGTTGGGTGTGGCTGAGCCACAGCCCTGTCTCCAAGCTTCCTTGCTATGGTGGTGGTGAGGCGGGGGTGGGAGTAGGGTGGCGTATGGTCCATTCTCTGCAAGGAATTTGACTATTCTGTGCCTGTAAGCTGTTGTTTGTTCCTATGGAAAGACATATGTGTGTGTATGTGTCTGTGTGTGTACTCACATGTGTGAGAATGTGTGTGTGTGAGAGAGAGAGAGACAGAGAGAGAGAGAGAGAGAGAGAAAGCACGCGTGCTGACACATCCCTAAGGATGGCGGAAGGGATCCAGGCAGGAACCAGTCCCACAGTCCATCATTCTTGGAGGAGGCACATCCTAGGACAGGAAATGAAGATGGGGGAGCTGGCCCTGAGACGGCCAGGGAGGACCCTCCCCTCTACTTCTGTCTCCTCGTCTCCTATTCCCACCATCCACCGGGAGGAGGCAGGGGGAATCTCGTCATATGAACTTCCTCTTTGCTCTGCTCAGACTTCTCTTACCTAAAACGCTATGATCAAGTCAGCCAGGCTTGGCTTTTGATAAGCTAAATGGAAAAAATTAGGAGATTGTTTCTGCTTTCAACTCTATTTTCATGGCTCCCATGTTTCTAAAGAGGTTCAGGAAGTCAGCTTCGAGATTCAGATGGGAGAGATGACATCTTTGTTTCAGGCAGCTCTTGCCCTTTCTTTCCCTCAGGCAAAAATACTTCTTGGGACATAAGGAACAGGCAACCGGATTTGAGAGATAAGGGGCGCTGATAAGACACATTAGTTACACATTTGCAAAATATTATATCCCAGAATGCCTGATATGGCTTAAAATGTCTTCTTTCTTCCCTGACCTACCACTCCCTGATCCCAACATACCAGAAAAAGGTGCCTCATTATTAAAATTAAATTTTAATTGCCAAATTAAAACAGCCAGCCCTCCTCCCATGCCCCCTACCCTGCCGAGAGCCAGAGCCCTTCTGTCCTGCAGCTCTGACACTTGTAACACCTGGAGAGAGAGGGAAAGAGAGAGAGCACGTGATCACACTTAGAGAGTATATTCCAGGGAAGACTGAGAAGGGAGCGAGAAGCCAAGTTCCTCAGAGAGGGTGAGCTGCTGTACCTTCTTGGTTTAATTCAGTCGTTCATTCAATAAATATTTACTGAGCCCCTACAGGAGTGAATAAAACAGACAAAAGTCTGCATTTAGGGAGCTCACATCCTAATGAGAACTAATTTTCATGCTTAAAGGTGCAATTCCTATTTATCATGCAACGTGGTGCCAATCGCGGGCCAACCTCTTCACTTGCTGGCAAACAGCTCCAACACTGAACGGAGAACTCGCTGTGAGAGGTGCTATATCTGAATGACTAAAGGGATGGTCGTGACTAAATTTAACTACGGGTGGTCTTCACTTTCTGCATCACATTTAGACCCCCCTCAACCTCTCCCCTCCCCCTGGCTATAAGCTGAGACTCCCTGTCCCTGTGTGCAGGGGCAAGTGGGGACTCCATGAAGTGTTGTGTGCATTGAGTGGGCACATCAATAAGGGATGGGAGGTATGAACTAGCGATTTCCGCCACAGACAATGACCTTGCCAGGTAGCACTTTGAGCTTTATTGGTGACCCCACCCCAGATGCTGCTCAGCCGCTCCCAGGGAACTCCTCCGAGATCGCTGGCCTTCCCCGGGTGGTTGAGCTTCTAGGCTGCAGACGCCTCGGGAGCAGAGCGGTGAAGGGGCTGCGGGGGTCAGTGGCAGCTCACGCCAGCGTCCTCGTTGTGGTTACAGTTGTGAGTGCCCCAGTTACTCTTGTTGCAGCTCCAAAGGGTCTGCTCTGTCCCTTGGCATGCGACATCATCCAGCCAGATGGTCCCAGTGCCTGATACAGAGAAAGCAAGGAGGAAGCGGGGAGTAGCATTAGGGTCAAAGCAGAGCACCAGTTTGTCCTGGGGGCTTCCATTTGGGATAGACAGGCCCAAGGTGCTGACTGCTGGTCTACTCTCTTATAATGACTCTGCCTCCATTCTGCTTTCTACCCTTTGACAAGAGTCTCATCCGAGTATTTAATGCTTAATCCATGCACTATTTGAAATCCCTCCTAGGGGCCGCCCAGCATTTGTCTCTTCCTCAAATGCCTTTTTAACCAGCGCATTCACACCTCCCTCAAACTCCCTTCCTTCTAACGTAAGTGACTTCAGATCAAGATCCCAGAGGAAAACAGTTGGATTATTTGATTACAGTAATTTCTACTAGTGTGACAATCTATAGAGCCTTAATCTATACAAGGAAAATGTGTATTTTAAAGGTGTTTTACAATCCAACTGGACTCAGATTAAAAAGTACATGTGCACTTTTTGGTGGAGTAAGGGGAGAGGACATTTGGGGGTGGCAGCAGGAGGAACTGGCCTAGGGTCCCTGCCAGGTCAGCTCTTATGGCCAAAGAAATGGTCTCAGCCTGGGGACTCAACTGCTTTGTTGGAAGTTTGAACCAGAAGGTTCAGCAGAACTGAAAGACGTGGGCTAAGTCTCTAGCACCCCAGGATGTCTTTCCAAAACTGGTTTTAGGGAGTCCCTGCTCTGATTTGGTTTCTCTTCCCTTCACACCTTCTCCTTACAGATGACAACAGCGTGGGCAGTCCGGGCCTTTAGCCTTCAGACAGCTGCACTGCACCCCCGTGTTTGTCTGCCTGCCCTGCGTCTTTTCTCTCCTTCCAGCACCAGTGCCTCAGTTGTCCTTCGGAGAGGTATGCCCCACGAACGCCTGCAGCCAGGTGGCATTCTGCCTTCAGGGCTGGACCGACACTGACCCAAGCCAGGCCAGCCAGATCCCCAAGCAAGCCTTTGCTGTCACTGTTGGGGAAGAGAGGTCATCTTTCTCCTGGGACTGCCAAACTGGAAGGATGTAATCCTGGGTCCTGAGCTGCAGAACTTTTCAGTGGCTTGAATCAATCCTTTTCTTTTAACCCAAACCATGCTGAGTCACTTGCAACCAAAAGGTGCCAACACCCCACCAGGGAGAGAAAGCCCATGTTAGCACCTCAAGGAAAGAGGCTCCTGGTTGAGGACTCACTTACCAGCTCCCACATTGTAAACAGCCGTTCCCGAGGAGTAACCCAGCATGCGGCAGAAGACAGTGGCATCCGAATTATCCCAGCCATCATCGCAAATTGTTCCCCAGGCACCGTTATAGTAAATTTCAGCCCGGCCTCGGTTCGCAGAGCCAACAATCCTCACACTTAACAGGGCCTCTCCTGGGTGAGAGCACACGTGTGGGAGAGATGAGGATGGCAGCCCAGGGCTTTGTGCGAAGACAAGCTCTGCCTTTTCGTTTTTGGAAGTTCTACAGTTAGGGAACAGAAACCCCCTGCTTGGCTCTCACCAGAGCTGAGAAGATCTCACATTGTGGCACCAACACAACCTGGCCAGCAGCTTCCGTGCACCTGGGCCTGCAGGCATGACGCCCTCGGAGCAGGTGCCTCTGTGGCTGGTCCTGCAAATCCAGCCACCCACGTCTTGTGTTGTGGAGAGAAAAAAAGGAAGAGAAGAGAAAAAAGGAAGGAAGGAAAGAAGGGAGGCAGGGAGGGAGGAACGAAAGGGAGAGAAGGAGGGAGGAAGGAAGGAAAATGGCTGCACTCTGGCTGTATGCCATGGGCAGGCTTATTCAAGGGACGAGCCCATTAGCTTTTCCCCAAAATGAGGAATTTCTCTGAGAACAAAGGCCTCTCCCCCCACCACACATACAATTTTCAAGTACAGAATTGACTCTAAAGCACAAATTAAAGAGAATAGAAATAGCAATTACCTTTTTGACCTTTTTCTCCCTTTGCTCCTTGTAGCCCAGGAGATCCTGTCACGAGGAGAAAAACCACACAGTTTGCAGTAGACCAAGCCAGGGTCCCCTCGCCCTCCTTTGCCAGCAGTGGGGACGAGGGGGGAGGCGTGGGGAGGAGGTCAAATTCTCTCCTCCAGCTTTGCCGGTGACCCGGCGTCATGGGGACTGGATGTGCCACGGGCACCAACGGTTGAGCAAGAAGAAATAGGCCTAAGCTACAGCAGGAAGGATTTAAGCTAGATTAGTGAGGGACATGAGACACGGAGTGGGAGCATCTCCGTGGAAAGATCTGGTCAGTCATGGGAACTGGAGCGGCTGGGGGCATGGCTGGGCACGGTGCAGGCACATGTCCACCAGTCTGCTTCTCTGAATGCCCGGCCGTGGCCCATTCTCTGCTGTGTGCTCAGCGCTGAGGGCAGTCCCAGCACAGAACTTGTCCACTGAACCAATAAACCTCTGCCCATCTGGTCCGGAAAACTCCCAAACTCCTTACAACAGGGCCTCTCCTTAGAATGCACAAATCAGAAACAGAAGCCTTACCTTTCGCTCCTGTGTCTCCCTTTTGGCCACCTGGTCCAGGTGCACCCTTGAGGCCTGCCAGGCCTGGGCTTCCCTTTTCTCCCTTCAGGCCTGCAAATCCTGGAGAGGAGAGAGACCGCCTCCATCAGGTGCTCTGCTCTGCTTTCCAAGGGGACCAAGGGCCTCGGTGTCTAACGAGTGAGTAATCCTTAACTCCCAGGTCTCCCCAGGAGTGGGCTGTCTGGATGCTCAGCCTGTGTCTTTGGTCCAAGTAGGGGTGGGGGTGGGTGCTGCTCTGCTCTCTTGACTCCCATGTGAATGCTGGTTGAGAACACGCGGGTGAAAACAGCTGACGGGATTCCAGAGGTTGTTGGTCCTCACCAGACTATAATCGTGTGGAAGTTCTAGCCATCCTGGGAGAATTTGCTAGGATGTTTCTAGGCCTCCATTTCTCCTATTCCTATTTAATAAATTAGGAATAGAACATCCAGCTGATGAGGAAGAAAGACTGCTCAAGAAATTGGTCTGAGAAGTTGTGTTTCAGCGTTCCTCAGGGTCGGGTGTCGGGAAGGCTAGGGAAGCTGTGTGGAAGGTGCCGATCTGAGTAACCAGCCCAAGGGCTTAGTAGACGAGGAGGATGATAAGAGTCTAGTGAGAAGAGCAGGAGGAGAGGAGGGCCTCGAGGGGCCAAAAGGAAGGTCGAGATGAACCAAAGCAGGTGTGCGGAAGCAGATAGAGATGTTGCAACCCACCTGGGGGTTGGAGAGGAAAGATGCACAGCTCGTGGCTGAAGCCACCACCTGACCCCCAGCTCTCCCGACACTTCTTACCTGGCCCCCCCCCCCCCCCCCGCCCCCCGCAGCCCCTGCCCCTCTCCCTTCATGCCTCAGGTCACTGACGTCCTGTCATTCCCCAGGTTTTGCCGGGGAAGAATCTGAGGCGTGAGTGACAGAGCCTGGAGTCTTAGCCTGAACCCAGCCTGGGCCCGGGACACTGCAGGAAGGGCACAGCGGAGCGCTCAAAGTCAACAGGACCCGCCCTCCGAGCACGCGCCTTTCCAGTCATCATTCTGAGAAATTAAAATGAAGCCGGCCCTTTACCTGGAACTCCTGATTCTCCTTTTGTTCCTTTCTGTCCTTGAAGTCCTAAGATCAAAAGACAAAACAGGGGAGAAGATAATAAAACTTAGATATTAGACACTTTTAATCTTAGACAACCTCTACCTTTTGTCTGATTAATGCAGATGGAAAGATACATCGGTTCTCCCGGGTTGTTTAAAGCCTCTTTCGCAGACCATAAAAGGAGACAGACTGCAGATAAATGGGGACGGTGTGTGGGGCAAAATAGAAATGTATCTGGTGAAAGTCTGGGTTGGATAGGCAGACCCCAGACCCACCGCTGGCCTTCTCTGTTCAGGGAAAACCTGATGGGGAGTCTAAATCCAATCCCGTTCCTTCCTGTTGCATTTTATTGGAAAAGAATTGAGAGAGATTTTGACAATAAAGTTAGCTTTATTTACAAAAGACTGTGGAAGGGGCTCAGTGCCACCAGGAGCTTTGGGGGGTCCTCACTCATAGTAGATGTTACGTAGCATCTGTTGGTTTATTTCATTGTGGCCCCCAGTGTGGCCAAAGATTCGTGTGGCTAAAGGGTCTCAGGTCCAAAAAATGGAAAAATAATCACTGCAATCGTTGGTGATGACCCTGCCTGTGGTTCTGATGTGAGAGATCCTCTCTCCCTTCCCCCTTTTGTCCTTGCTTCCTTCCTTCTTTCTCCCCTCCCTCCCTCTTTCCTCTCTTCCCTCCTCCCTCCCTCCCTCCCTCCATTTACCCCTTTACTCAGAGAACGTTCTGGGAAGCCCACTGTTCCCAGCACCATGCTGGGTCACTGTGTGGGATGATTATTTGTTGGTTTAGCAACATCATGGTCTCTCGATTTTAAGTGCCAATATTGATTTCATTTCAGAGAAATGGGACTCTCAAAGTTACACAAACTTGGGGAAATGAAAGCTCATTACTGACTGTGCAGTAACAGTTACTAGAGGGTAACAACAGGAATTCGAACGGCTCTTATGAGTGGCTGTGCTCATCGCCATGCCCTTGCCTGGTGTCCCTCCCATGGCGCGAGCCCAGCCTTAACCAAAGACCACCCCTGCTGACCACCAGAAACCACAGGGAACCCGACTCCCCTCCTTGCCAATTCCTGGGAACGTTCCTATCTGAGGGAGTTCCTGCCTCCCACTTCAATTCCTGACTTTCCTGAGCACCTATTGTGTGCTGATCAATGGAGGGCAGGCGAGGGGCCTGGCAGCCTCTTCAGGCCTCCTTCTTGGAATAATGAGCAAGGGAAGTCCTGGCTCCTGGCAGCCTTTCAGATGACTTGCCTGAGGCCAAGCACTGCCTGGGGAAGAGGGTCAGAGGGCCCAGGAGCTAGGAGCTGCTCCTGCAGGCCTCGGCACTGAAAGAAGCAGGAAGCGTTGGAAGGATCTGAGAGGATGACTAATTCAGCCCCTCATTTCAGGGAAAGGGACAGGATTGAGGCTCAGAGAGCTTCTTTTAAGAGCTGAAGGTACCCTAGAGTCAGACCCTGGCAGACAGGCCCCAGCTCACCCCAGGCCATTTGTGGGCACGCTGGTCCCTTTGTTTAGAATGCCTCCCCGCCGTGGTCCCCTGGAGAACTTGGATCAAGCTGCTAAAACCCACTAAGATGTCAGATGTTGCTGACTGTGAAGGCCTCTCTGGCCTCACCCATGTATGGTGCCCTTCCTCCCAAGGCGGCAAAGCGGTCCAGTGTCAGCCGCCTGGGCTTGTTTCTGCTTCTGTGACCTCGAGCAAGGTGCCCCTCTCCCTGAGCTTCACTCTCCTCCTCTGAGCCTCCTCGCTGCCTCAGAGGACTGTTGTGAGACTGAAATGAGGCCGTCTATGTCAGTGCTCAATAAATGGTACCACAAGGACCCAATGGACCCTGTTCGCGCGTGTCTGTCTCCCCTCCAGGAGAGGGGCGTCTCAGACACTGAGGCCGAAGCCCCAGCATGAGCACCAGCCTTGCTGCCCAGCAAGCCCCTGTAAATGTTTGTTGTTGACCTGGGGTCACTCAGAAGAGGTGGCAGACATTTCCTCTCTGCTCACCTGCATCTGAATCGCCTATGTCAAGATCAGGGAGAGAAGCCACATTCAGAAATACGTCTTTGCTTGTTATTAAACAGAAAAACAGTCCATATCTAGACTTTTGGCCCTTTCTGTTTGCATCCTAGAGGGCGCCATATTGTGGAAATCTCTACCTCAGCGGCTATCCTTAGAAGGTTCAGGGACCCCAGGAACTGTGACCTCCCCATATTGCCCCCTGCAAAGAGGTGCCCCTCTCCAGCTGTCCTCCAAAGTATGGAATGGCAAACACCCTGTACAAGACAGGAACCACAGGGAAGCCCCTGTTCACTGCGTGCATGGCACCATGACCAGACCCTCCCTTCCCAGCCCCTCGCTTCCTGGGCATCTGCTGCTGCCTGCACTGTGCCAGGCACCATGTCAGGGGCTTTACGTACATGGCCTCGTCCCATCTCTCAGCTGCCCTGCAAACTAGTGCCGTTTCCCTCTTTACGAAAGGGGAAGTCCACACTCAGAGATGCTAGGCGATTTATCCAGGGTCACACAGGGAGTGAGTGGTGAAGCTGGGGTTGAAACCCAGTTTCAGCCTCCTCTTGAGCCCTGTAGCTGCCTACCAGCCTTCCAGCTCACGCCTCCCTGGAGTTTCACTCGGGCTGTCTACCCCATTCCAAAGACACTCCCAGCCCACCTTGAGTAGTCAAACCGGA